TTGTCCTTCATGGAATTTCATATGAAATATTCATTTCCTTGAAGGGATGATTGTTTCTTTTGAAATTCTGATACGTCCGAAAATTTTTCGAGCAGGAACCAAAACTTGTTTACATTATATTTCACCTTTTCAGTGTATTTTGGGAAGAAGGTGTCGCGTCTGACACTCGGGTCGGCTCAAAAGACTGACGACAGGCTGAGATTGATGAATCAGATTATTGCCGGTGTAGAGATCATTAAGATGTACGTTTGGGAAGTGCCGTACTCGCTGCTTGTCGAAAAGGCTAGACGGTAAGAGAACAACTGTCAAAATGAAGTCAGCAAACTGCTACATACACTATTTTCAGGAAAGAAGTGAACGTGATAAAAAAGTATTCGATCATTGAACAATTTGGCTTGACATTCGATATTTACGTTCCACGTGTCAGTTTATTTATCGCCATATTAACGTACGTTTTATCCGGCAACAATATCAACGCTGAGAAAGTGTTTATGATGTCAGCATTTTGCACTATTTTAGGAAGTTCTATGACCATTGGTTTCGCTTTAAGTAAGTTACTCTTTGACAACCTGACATCAAATTAACAGCTATATACACTAATTCAACTTTTAGCGTCGTGACTTGTTTACCATTTACTCACCACAAAATTTACCCCTCGTCACGAAAACGTTTGTTAAATTAATGAAGCAAATGTCGCGCAGGTGTTCATCAACTGGCAGAAGCGCTGGTGTCTGTCAAACGACTGGAGAAATTCATGATGTACCCTGAAGTCTCCACCGCACAGAAAATTCCGACGCAGGATGCAACGCAGTCGGTTCCTATTCACTTGAAAGACGTCACTGCCAAGTGGGACGAGTCGAGAGACAGCGACACGTTGCAAAATATCAACTTGACGGTTGAAGCCGGCAGTTTCATAGCGGTGATTGGTCAGATAGGCTCCGGGAAGAGCAGCTTGCTGCAAATGATACTTCGCGAACTGTCGTTGAAGGAGGGTGTTCTAGAAACGAGCGGAAGAATAAGCTTCGCGGATCAACGACCGTGGATTTTCGCCTCGTCCATCAGGCAGAACATTCTCTTTGGCCATCCGATGAACGAGGCTCGTTACAACGAGGTGATCCGCGTCTGTCAGTTGACGCGCGATATCGATTCGTTCACGCACAAAGATAGAACGATGGTTGGCGAGAGGGGGATCAATTTAAGCGGCGGTCAACGAGCACGAGTCAACTTGGCACGAGCGTTGTACATCGACGCCGACATTTACCTCTTGGACGATCCTCTATCAGCGGTCGACACGCACGTCGGCAGTCGTATCGTGGACGAGTGCATATGTGGCTTCCTCAAGGAAAAGACCAGGATCGTGGTCACCCATCAGATACAGTATCTGAAGGCTGCCGATCAGATAATCGTCATGAACAACGGCAGCATTCAAGCGAGAGGCAGCTTCGAGGAGTTGCAAAGCATGAACCTGGACTTTATGAAGATCTTCCAAGAGGTCGAGGACAAAAAGGAATCGAACGAGGCGAAAGCCAACAAGGAGAAGAGGCGAACGATGGACGAAACGATGGAGAAAGAAGAGGACGCGATCAAGGAAGAGGAACCTGTCGACGTGGCGGAAACAAGATCGAGGGGGAGAATGTCCAGTAAGGTTTTCCTTGCCTATTGCAAAGCGAGTAAAAACGTGTTTCTGCTTTTCTTCATGGCGTTGCTGTTCGTACTGAGTCAATCGATGGCCAACGGCAGCGACCTTTTGCTCACATTCTGGGTGAACACAGAAATGGCGTCGTGGACCGCGATTGAAAACGGCACGATGGACTTTCAATGGAACGGATCTCTGTCCCGCCAGAGTATCATTTATTTTTATAGCGGTATAACCGTGTCTATCGTCAGCATCTACATTGTACAAACGTTCGTGTACTACACGGTCTGCATGCGAGCCTCGAAGAATCTGCACACGCAGATGTTCCGTAGCATCGTACGAGCTGTGATGTACTTTTACAACACGAATCCTGCTGGACGGATATTGAATAGGTAAAAACTTGTAGCTTGCAACCAGTCGCGAGTAGTTGGAATTATAATAATAATACTTCAATAATAATTCAATTATTCTGTAATTGAAATAATAATTCAATTATTCAAAATTAGTCTCAATTATTGTGTAGACAAAATTAGACATAAAATAACATTCATTTGAACTGCGTACAGTGTCCAAATACTTACGAACGCTGTAATACTATTCGAGAAACATTATTATTTCCAATTCGAGTCGATATTAACAGTATCGTTTCTGTTTTAAGGTTTTCCAAAGACATCGGTATCATCGACAAGAAACTGCCTTTTACCATGTTCGATGTTATCGTAATGTTCCTAAGCTTCACGGGAACCATAGTGATCCTTGCTACGGTGAACGCGTGGCTGTTGATACCAACAAGCTTCGTCATCGTCCTTTTCTATTACATACGAGTCGTCTACATTACAACTAGTCGCGCTGTCAAACGAATGGAGGGTACAAGTAAGTAACATTTTGCATGTTCGACAACGAAAAACGATCAACAGCAACAACTTTCAGCCCGTTCGCCGGTGTTCGATCATGTGGGCGCGACGCTGCAGGGTCTAGCGACGATCAGAGCGTTCAAAGCTGAGAAGATAGTAACGGAGGACTTCGACAACCGTCAGGATCTTCACACATCGACGTGGTTCATATTTGTTTCCCTCTCGCGAGCCTTCGGTCTCTACATCGAGATATTCTGCTTGGTCTACGTGGCGGTGATTGTGATCATGTTTTTGGTGTTCGATGACCTCGCCATCGCCGGTGACATTGGTTTGGTGATCACGCAGGTGACCGGGGTCATTGGAATTTTGCAATGGGGCATGAGACAGACCGGTGAACTGGAGAATCAAATGACGTCTATCGAAAGGGTGTTGGAGTACAGTAACTTGGAGGAAGAGCCATTCCTCGAGTCCAGTATACCGGAGAGGAAGCCGCCGGATGAATGGCCGACGAAAGGTCTCGTCGAGTTCAAAAACGTTCGGCTGAAGTACGGGCCTAAAAGTGCTTACGCATTGAACGGCATCACTTTCGTGATAATGCCGAAGGAGAAAGTGGGTGTGGTCGGGAGAACGGGCGCTGGCAAAACGTCGTTAATTAGCGCCCTCTTTCGGCTAGCGTACATAGAAGGGGAAATTGTCATCGACGGTATGGCCACCGACAAAATTGCGTTGCACGACTTCCGTTCGAAGATCAGTATCATACCTCAGGAGCCAGTTTTGTTCGGCGGCAGCCTCCGACGAAACCTGGATCCCTTCGAGGAATATTCCGACAACGTTTTATGGGCAGCGTTGCAGGAAGTAGAGCTGAAAGAGACGATCGCAGAAATGGCGGCCGGTTTGAACAGCAAGGTGTCGGAGGAAGGGTCGAATTTTAGCGTCGGGCAACGCCAGCTGTTGTGCCTCGTCCGGGCGCTCGTCAGAAACAACAAGATTATGGTACTTGACGAGGCCACTGCTAACGTTGACCCGCAAACCGATTCCCTGATTCAGCAGACCGTCAGGAAGAAATTTATGGATTGCACTGTAATCACTATAGCGCATAGATTAAATACCATAATGGACAGTGATAAGATACTTGTGATGGACCAGGGTTGCCTAGTAGTAATTATACGTTGGATTATTTAGAAATTTAGACCGAAGGGACTTTGCTGCAACAAAGAGGCAGTCGGCGTTCGCTCCAAGTAAAAGTTTATTAACACGAGCCTATCATTATGAATTTTATAGCGCGTGTATCGACAATTTCTAATTTTCAATTAGCCGACAGTGAAGTTACTGCCTCGTTCTTGCTGCAAACTTTGCAACTGATTCGCTATCACCTTTTTAAGAAAACTTTGCATACATTATCTAGTTAGATTTATTTCACAATGTTATTAATTAATTCTTTCTAGGAATACGATCATCCGTACGTGTTATTGCAAAAGAAAGGATATTTTTACAGTATGGTGGAACAGACGGGGGCTGCGATGGCGAATACTCTGTCGGAAGTGGCAAAGGACGTAAGTGAGGAACGAAGCAGAAGACTGAAGTGCAGAAGGGAATTTTGAACGCTGTGTGAATTCATGTTTCAGTGCTTCTACAAGAACAACGAACCGTCATCTTGATAATGGGCCGAATTTAGAAACGTCTCAATGAAAGTCTTTTTCTACGTCTAGTTTATATTTTACTATTCCAAAGCTGAACGTCTACCTTTTCTGCCAAGTGCACAGGTCTGTTCGACAAAAATTCTGAAAGTACGGTGCTCACAGAGATTATTACGTACCTATTATTTAGTCTATGAGGTAACGACGATCTTTTGTATCGAAAGTATAATTTCAATAAAATTTCACAAGAATATTTCTTCGTTATTTCAATATTATTGAAACAGTGGTGATTCCTGTCGTTAAAAATATGTGTATGATACACGTAATTGGGTTCAAACGATTTCAAGTAGTATTAAAAAAAGAAAAAAAAAAAAAAAAAAAAAAGAAAGCCTTTCCCGCGAAGTAAGCCCTGTTTAGTTGGACAATTCTCAAATTCCACTCCTCAGAGGGATTGGAAATTGAGAATTACAATCCGAAAAACGCATTACTTTTCTTTGACCAATACGCCCTTGTCCTAACTCGAAAGATCCGCCGAAGCTTCCTGTCTTAAAAGTTCGAGAAAGATGACAAGAGGCTAGCAGCGGTTGATGCTACGACACTTTCTGTCCACGGTCCAGGGACTTTCCTCAGAGCATGAGAGAGTCACTGAGAACTCCGATTGTGGCTCCGTCACGTTACTCGAGGGAACTGCTCGATGTACTAAGGTTTAGAAGTCATATATATACTGACGACAGCGCAAAGTGTGTACTAGCGAGAAAGAAAGAGTGACGCTCAACTCGACAGAGGCGCACTCTGGAAATCTAATTTTTCTTTTCTTTTTTTATTAATCTCACTATCGTTACATTTGGAAACTGTAGAATTAAATTGAAATCATCCGGTAACATCTTCCCCTTTTATTTTCGAACATCAATATCCACATCAAAATCGAAAGTATTTGTTAAAGTAAAAATTTCAATACATCGAATACGTTACAGACAGTAAACATTGTGTCTCCCCTTGGTATTGCGAAATTTGTACCTTGGTGTTCAAGTTGAAGAAGAATGCACATTTAGGGTCACACAGGTTAACATAGCAACATACAAAATTCATGTACGAGGGAACACACGAACGCGTCGTGATGTCGGATAAGAATACAAAAATGACTACTACCTTCTCGCGTGTCAGCACCATTTGAATATACGCGTCGATAAAATATCACTCGATTAGTACCAAAAAACGATTGTGTGTAAAACAAGTGAAAGTCACACGTTGCGAGCAAAGTTCGTTCACGCGTGATAAAATTCATTTATATAAAAATATTTGGCGTGAAATATGTTCTCGATCGATCGGTAAATTTAGTAATCGTACCTGAAATGACACGAGCAATAAATTCCTTGTACTCTGTTGCAATACGAAACACCATCGACCGTCATAGGCGAGTTCGCGTGAATAATAATCAATCGAACCGCCAAGCATCATCGGCTTTATTATCAAAATGATTAAAAGACATACAAAATAGCGAAGTAATCTCTCATCCTAGACACATCGATCATTAAAATGAACACAGGCAAACGTGAAATGATCTGTCTTTCTTTGGAATGTAAAATGCGCGATTATTTTTCTTGTTTTTTTTTTCTTCGTTGTGCTTCGTCATTATTAACCAACGAGATTTAAAACGTTAACAATACGTAGAATTTGATTTTAATCGTGAGCTTTTGATTTCGTGTTCAAACACATTTTACCCGTGTGTATGTGTGTGTGTGTGTGTTGTGTGTGTTGTGTGTAAAATCGTTGGGACTGCACAAAACTCTTCCTCTTTTACTTTCATTCTTTTCACACTGCGTCTATTTTTTTCTTTTTTTTTTTTTTTTTGCTTTCTACTCTCTCATCTCTTTTTCTTCCTTTTGCTTCTCGTTTTACGTTTCTCCCCTTTTGTTGGACATTGTTGTTCCTAATTGATTTACTATTAATAGGAACTTTTACATCTAAACGTTCGTTGTACAACGTTCGCAACGTAAACGATATTCCTCGAACAAAATATCACAAATTTACGCTGAACATATTAATCAAAGGTGTCGAAATCTTAATCGTACGTAGATATACATTTATATAAAACGAGCGTAAATGTCGCGTAGATGTTTCAAATTTCATAACGGATGTTCACTTGTCCAGCTTTATAACGAAAGCCTCTCCCGGAGGTATGATGAGTTCCTTGAAATACACGTCCTTGTTTAATCTGTACGATGGACCGACTATGACGTAACCGCCGTAATAGAGGAAGGATAGATCCTTCGTTTGCGTCTGATTGCCTAAATTCGCTAAGAAGACGTAAGAATTCCGTCGTGGATACCATCTTTCTATTACAATCATCTCGTCGTCTGCGTACCTGCGAAAAGAAAAAAAAAAAATGACATTCATTTGAACAATTGTTGCAACACTCTTGCCAATAGCTTTGTCAAAAAGCGAGGTTCGTCGGAAATCGAAATTTCTACACTTCGTGTCTTTGTATCAAAGAGTAAGATCGTAGAAATTTTAAACGATTCATTATGTTTGTTTGGTTTTACCTAATATCACAGTTCGCCAGCACCTGATTCTCTTTTAGCACCGCTTTCACGTAGATAGGTGTCGTTTCCGTTCGGAGAGCAGCCATCTCAGCGATCGTACCGATCAAGCTCGACTCCAATGGCTTCGCAGATTCCGGAAGCCAAGCCGTAACACCGATGGGCGCAAATTTAAAGCCGGAACCGTCGGTTTCCTCCCAGTACATGGGCGCCAAGTTGTGCACGTGAGCAAGATCTTTGTGATCCTCGCATTCACAGTCCAGAATACCTATCTAAACATTAATCATAACTCTTAGAAAGCGTCGTTTATGACTGTCACTCAAGACTTATAGCTGTCGTACGTTACTTGAAAAAATTAACGTCGTGCCATGAGATATTGCATTACAGGGAGAGAAAAATAGGTACATTTTTGAGTATATGATTGTACCAAGTAAGACAAGAAACGTAACAGCTTCGACATATTAATATTATGGCAATAGTTTTGAAATTAATAAGGAAGAAAAATTCACAGGTGGCTCCAAAACCCAGTAAAAAGACCAGATCGATTACTAACGTGAACAATTATAAAACTCTATGAATGAGAAAATTCTATAAAGTAGAATTATAATATCTATTCTATAAAGTATAGTTTAAATATATCTATAAAGTATAATTATCTATAAATTACTTATATATAAATTAAACTATAAATATCTATAAAGTAAAGTTTATATATATATATTCTATCACTTATAGAATTATATTTTTATATTTATATTATATATAAACTCTATAATTTTATTATAAAGACTCTAAACTCTAAATTTTATTACATATAATAAACTCTATAATTTTATTCTTTAATTATAATTTTATATATATAAACTCTATAATTTTACTCACTTATAGATATTATAATTCTACTTTATAGAATTATATTTTTATATTTATATTATATATAAACTCTATAATTTTATCATAAAGACTCTAAACTCTAAATTTTATTATATATAATAAACTCTATAATTTTATTCTTTAATTATAATTTTATATATATATATATATACTCTATAATTTTATTCATTTATAGAGTTATATTTATAAAATATATATAAAACTCTATAAATTTCCCTGTAGCCTCCAATACTATATTTATCCTTAAGACAAAATAATATACTAAATTATAAATGCCTAAATTCTTTTCACGACATAGCTAATACGAAATACTATAAATACTACAAATCTTTGTAACACTATAAATCCCTAAATTCTTTTCACGACACAGGCAAATTCTTCCTACGTGTCGCAGCGACAAAACTTATGTTACATCCCGTCAGCTTATACCTCGTCTCCGTAGAATATATTCGGCGTTCCTGGAAGCATCATCCCTAACATTGTCGCGGCGATGGTGGCGTTCTTCACGCTAATGGTGGAAGCTATCCTCTTCGAGTCCACGCCACCGATCGACCAATGTACCCACGGGTAACCGGGCTTCTCGAACAGCACGCTGCCGGTAACGTCTTCGATCTGTCTCTTGATGTCCATCGTGCCGTTCGTCACGCGCAACGTAACGTCCACGAGGTCCATCCTCATCAGAATGGAGTTCCTCGCCGCCGGCGACCTCGCGGCGTTCAAAGCGTCCACGTGGCAAATGAGTATCCTCTCGGAGCCGAGGATCGACTTCCACTGTTTCAGAATGCCGGCGAACGGTTTCTCGTTCGCGTAGTGCTCCAGTCCTTTCAGGTAGAAGCCGTCCACTCCCCTTTCCAACCAGATTTTAATGGCCGTCGTCACGGGATTCTCCGACACGGGGTCATTGACGTGGCTCGATGTGAACGCTTCGCGTTGCGAGTTGTCCAGAGGAGGCGGTATCGAGGACAGCGCCTCGCGTATCGCCTGATGAAGCGACACGGAGGACGTCGTCGTCGACACTGCCTCCTGAAGGGTCGCCGCCGTTTCGCTAGCGTCTCTTCTCTCGCGCACCGCTTTGTCCGTTTTATTCGGCTTCTCCGAGGGCACGGTGGTCTCGTTGTGCAGGGTCTTGACGAACGGGTACAGTGGCAGATCGAGAATCAAGCTCATGTTTCGACGGTGAGTCTCGCGCACAAGCGTGGCGAAATCGTCCAACGTTCCTAACTCTCTGTTCAGGTCTGTCAGGTTCTCGATGTTCGCGTAATACTCGGGATAGTGGGCCGCCGGGAAGATGGAATTCAAACGGATCCCGCGCACGCCCAGCTTTTTCAAATAGTCCAGACGCATCGTGATGCCGCGGAGATCGCCGATTCCGTCGCCGCCCTTCGAGGAATCCTGGAACGATGCCGGGAATATCTCGTAGAACACGCTGCCTTGCCACCATTGGACTGGCGGGTCACACCTGCGGGAAACGAGTTGTTTAGATAGCGATACTATGTACTCGAACAGATAGAACTGTTTAAGTATCGTAAATGGTATCGCATTTACTTGGACGACATGCGTATATGAATGAATTAGATTGAACTGGATTTTATGGATTATTTTCGAAATTTGTGATTATTATAGAATTATCATAGTTACGAAATCGATTTTTTAAAACATCGAGATCGATCATTGTATTTTGTTATTAAAATATTTATTTTAGGTTTTATTGTAAATTTGATTTTAATAAAAATAAATTTTAAAATAATATTAATTTTTTTTTTAAATTTTACTTAATTAAATATAATTAATATATATATATAATTATTATTTATTATTTTAATAAATTTTTAAATAAATATGAAATAATTTATGAAATTATATTTTCTAATATTATAATTTTATTTTCTATACTTAATTTAAAATTATTATTCAATAAAATATCATTATATACAATTATTTTAATGTATATATATATTTAATAATGATTTTTATACTATATTAAAATATTATATTTTTTAAATAGCTTATAATAACAGAGCATAATATTGAAAATATTAATGAAATTAAAATTTTTTAAATATAATTAGAAAAATATTTTTGTTAAAAATATAATATTTAAAATAATGATATTTCATATAAATATAAAAATAATATTTATATTTAATTATAGAATTAAAATTTAAATTTTTATTTAAAAAAATTATTTTATTTAATAATTTTATTAATAATTAGAATATTTCTTAATTTTAATTTAATAAAATATAAAGTAAAAATTACATTTAATTAAAATTTAATCATTTAATTTTTTATTTAAATATTAATATATTTAATATAAATTATTAATTTATTATAAAATTAATTTTAATTATAAATTTCGAAATTTGTGATTATCATAGAATTATTATAATTACGAAATCGATTTTTTAAAACATCGAGATCGATCAAATAAATATTTTTAAAAATACTGACTACTGACAGTTTTAAATACGTCGATTGTTAAAATAAGCTACGTTTGGCAAGAAATATCTTCTATTATCCTAGTTATAATACTAAACATATTCTTAACTGCAGTAATTTCATAAAACGAAAACTTGTATTTCTTCATTTAACGAACAAGCGTAAATGAAAATTAAGAAACTCACGAATATAATATATAAATTTTTATACGAATGTAAAGCTGAAACACTCGATGATATTCACGATCCATGTTTCCGATTTACTCTTAAACGAGAAGGAATACGACATTTTAAAATAATATTAATTTTTTTTTTAAAATTAAGAGTGTGTAATATTAATTTTTTTTAAAAATTAAGAGTGTGTAATATTAATTTTTTTAAAAATTAATTTTTTTTTTAATTTCTGAGTCTGACAGAGTCTGACGTTGTTCTCCAGCAGAAAATCACAGCAATCGGAATTCGAGAGTTTCGAAAATTCTAAAAAATATTAAAAAACGAACCGTCTGTTCTTCGTTCTGCGGGCACTTACTTTCTTGGCATCGTGGCGATTACACCGATTACGAGCGCTACGCATCCGGCGAGCACCGACATCAAAGACCAGAAACAAGTCTTCCGTATGAGTGGCCAGTTCCATTTCATGAAGCGATAGTCCTTCGACGGTTTCGGTACCACTAGCTGTATCCCGACTAAAGGTGGCTTTCCTCCATTCTCCTGATTGTAAAACTAAACAGTTACAGTTTACGTTCATAAGGACGTTAGGAAGCAGCAAGCGATTAGTGACAAAAAGAAGGGCAGGGGGCGGGAAGAACACAAAATGATCAACGCGATTCCCTCCACCATGATCAAATTGACCAAGTGCTGTTCTGTAACATTGCCATTACTAGACTACGGATTATCGTCCGTAGGAAATTTTCAACTGCAAAATTACACGGGACACGGAATACGAGAACATGTTCATTGTTATTAATTATATGTATGAAAATTATTATCAAAGTGTGAGATTTGTGTCTTGGCGCGAAACAATTTTTTCTTTCTCCTTTCTTTCTTTTTTCTAAAAATTTTATCCATTAAATTACGTTCCGAAGAACACAAGAATTCGCACAAGATCCGCAGTTTAGCTATCGGCATGGTTGGGCATCGATATCGAAGTGCAATTACCAGCATCGTGGGCAGAGCAACAATCTGGGTCATTCGCGAGCATTTTCAATCTGGATATCGACGATCTCTCTTTGTTTCGGATCTCCGATTCACCGGGGTGTAAGTTTTCAAATTGCTATCGATGCTGAAGAGAGTGATGATAGATATGTACACTGTGTTGTTGAAACAATGGCACGTGGTACTGGTGGAATATGCGCGCACGAAACTGAAGATGCTACCGATTTTAAATTTTCATATTGCCAACGGTGTCGATTTAAATTTTCAGCTTTGAGAAGATTGTATCTTGGAAAAGATACAACTTTAACAATGTCTTATAATTGATAATTATTGTACAATCGTATGTCACTTTCTGAAAAGATACACTTATTATAAATTTTGATACTTTAATGTTTATAAAAAAAACGTTTACATTATATTAAAAACATTTCTACAAGTTCCCAGAAATTTGAACGCAGCCTCTTCGATAGTAAAATCTTCAATAGGCAAGTCCTCTAAAGTTTCTAACATCCATGACACTTCTAAAGGCATTGCACATGTCAAAATTACATAACACCAAGGATATTAAATTTTCTTTTGCTTTTCAGTCAAGAACCAGACGATCAACGCGTCGAAAATCTTTCAGACTATTAAACTAATACGAAAGCAACGTGATTGTTACGGTATTTGTAGAGCGGGATTAAACTATTATTCATTCATCAGCACGTATTGGTAACGGTGTCAAATATGTTCGCTTATTTCTCGTGATAGAGATTTATGGAATACGTACGACAAATGTATTGCGTTAGCAGTATTTGGCAAAGTGATCTTTCTATGTGCCAAGCTGACCAAAACGCACTGACGCGAGTGACAGAACTTTTTAGACAAATTACGATACGAAACCTATGAAAATAGAGCTTTAATTGACGCGAAGTAGACTCGTTATTGGGAAATACTTTTAAATATATTTTAATATTTTACTACCAGCTCAATATGTTACGTATTCAGCGATTAACGAAAGTGGCGTTAAATCTGAACAGAGTAAAAATAGATTCACCTGCAAATCGGATCGTTTTAATATCTACGATACGGTTTCTTATTACGTTGGCGACTAATAAATTGTAGTTTAAATATATGCAATATTTCCCGAGAAATCATCTTATATCATCTGCGCGTGTTTTACGTGCATTGTACAACACGTGGATAATACGTCATTTTCTACGATAGAGTTTCTGCTTGCCTAGAACGTTTCTGTACAACGTCATAAAAGATTTAATATGAACTATCAGATTATATAAAAAGGATATTTATATAAAAAGTAAGTCAATAAACGAGATACGCCGTCATAAATGTCGTGTAAATCTTAGATTAAATGAAACGTGAAGAGAGGATAGATATAGAAGGGTGAATTTGAATGAAAAGAAATCGATAATAAATAGGGTAACTTCCCTCTAGTATCAAAGATGCGATCATTGTGTCCAGAATAGAAGAGTGTCAGTTTTCGTATTATTTAAAGGTGCATTAAAGGGTTTGCAGTGTCAGTTTTTGTTAATTACGTTCTCGAAGATTTTCACCCCTTATATTCACGTGAAATTTTAAGATCTACACCTTTATAAATTTCTTTCTGCGTCTATTCATTTATATCATGTTCTGATTCATTCATTTCACCGTCAGAAATTAAATTTCTGTGCTGGACACCATTTGTTAAATAATATAATGAATCTTTACAAAAACGATTTTGTTTTATAACACGTTAGTAAGTAACGTGTCTTCTTTACGTTCATTTTAAAAGAAAAAGTGAACGAGCTTGTTTTTTGAAAAGATAAAATTTTTAGCATACATTCGTCATTCGGAAGGCAATTATTATTTAAAAAAATGTGAAGAATTAAAAAAAGTTTTACAATAAATTTGCAACAACAAATTTTTTATCCTTGGAAACAAATATGCAAGATTTTTCTTTAGGTATGTACAGCAATTCATTAACGATGCGAAAACTTGCGTAATCTCTGTTGATGTACGACCAAGCTAGAATGCGGATGTTTAAGCAAATGCATATTTTGCTTTTGTATCTTTTGCGTATTTACATTTTTTTCGTGCTCATTTGCATATTTTCCGTGCATATTTGCAAATGCAAACACGCAAATATTAAACAATAGGTGAGCATACGTGAGAAATAAGTACATACCCACGAATGATAGGCAAATATATATACGGATCAAATATTTGCATACGTTTCATCTGCTTTTTGTACATTTTTCATAAATATCCGCCGATAATCCACTAGCAAGATTTTCGTCACCGGTGGACTAATAATCTGATGTATGAAAAAAAAAACGCTTAATTATGAGAATGAGGACTGTATGTACATATGCATGTATATAGCGACGCGTATATCAAAAATAAATGCGCGAGACGCGTGAATGCAACTGAACTTGACACAATTAGAACGAAGATAGAACAGGTGATCGGCCGTGGCGAAAACAAAGCGTGAATTAGCGAACAAACAACACTCGTCAAAGTTTTTATTAACGCAAAAATTGGACAAAACTTTCCTGTTAGAGATTCGTATGTTTGGACGTTAAAGTTGACAGCAAGCCAATACGCAACACACGCTTTTTTTACCAACATCTTTTATTAGCGTGTCGACACTGTCTGCGTTATTCGTAATGAGGGTATATACAAAGGAATTTAGCGATTTACCACTGTGCAATCCATAAATATGCAAAAAGCGTAATAGCACAGACGGTCCGCAACGTGTGTGTGTGTGTTTATTGCGGTAATATAATTAACCCTCTGCTGGCTCGACGTCGTATTTCATCACATTCATCTTTCCGTATATCACCGAGCACGTGAGGTTCTCTGACAGTTCGATTTATGCAACGAACTGTCACTTATCACCGATTGAAAGATTCAAAATATAATACAAGTAGTAGTAGTAGAACTGCTAAGATGAATGTTGATACGAAGGAGAGAGAGATTCATCGAACCGTAGAGGGTTAGAAAAAGAACTGTAGATAATTATATTTCTGTACAGAGCATAATCAATGGTATGGTGGGACAAATACAGCTAATTATTGCACGTGTAGTTGATATTTTAACGTTTGGGTCGTTTGTCTTCATCTCTCCAAGTTGCTTCAATTCAAAGTTCAAGTGAAAATCGTTCACTCGAAGGACATTTTAAAAGATGACAATTAATTCCAATTAATTAATAGCAAAAGTTGAAATTCAAGTTTCAATTAAATGACGAATGATAAGAGTTCTAGTGAATGAACACATCTATAATAAAATACAAACTCTGAATGGAGGAATTACGATCGAACATCAAATTAAAATCCGAAGATCTATCTCAAGATGTTGTAAATACAAATTTTTAAATAAATAATGATACAATTTTTAAAATTTTATATATATATATATATAATATGTAAAATAATATATGATAATATATGTATATGAAAATTCTATATATATATATATATAATATGTAAAATAATATGTGATAATATATGTATATGAAAATTTTATATATATATATATATAATATGTAAAATAATATATGATATGTATATATAATATATATATAATATATGATAATATATGATAATATATATATATATATATATTAATACAACATGATTATATTATATTATATATTACATATATATGATTATATATTATATTATATATCTACGAATATGTATTATATTAAATATATTATATATGATTATATATTATATTATATTGCATTACAACACAGTGTGATATATTTTCTCGAAATGATTCCCAATTCCCCGAAATAAACCATGTCGAAACACCCATTTTCGGTGTATCGTTAACATTTAGAATTGAAACAATTGGCACCCAACACGTCTAACAATCTCTGTATCTGTACATTTTCGCTGTATCTGTCCCACCAGGGTTTATCTCGCGACGCCAGCGTTCCTTTTCCCAGCTGAAAGGAATCACGTTACCAGTAATCTTTCGTCGAATGCTTACCAGAGCTTGGGCATCGGGCGCGAGATGCTGATAAGCTGTGTTCAGCTGTGTCAAGAGCTGTGCACAAACGGGCTCGTTTGTGTCACTGCTGCTCCCGCTGGTCGTCGATTCCACCATCGGATCTCGCGAGCTTGGTTCTGCAATTAATACAACGACACTTGAAATAATCTTGCGGCTTGTAGATCGGCGATATCGAAATTAGAAGAAGATAGAAAAAGAAAAAAAAAAAGAAAAGAAGCCTCGGGCGGCTCTCTTGAATTTCGTAACTGTTAACGTTCGAAATGCTTGGATCGTCGACCATTGTTGTTCGTGGCACAGGGCACGCAGTGGACGTCGAGGCACGCGTCGATTCCCGACGGTTGTTACGGCCAGACTTCATTAAGATTAATTTGTCACTTCAATTGAAACCGGATCCCGTTAAGGCACTTTATCGCCGGCTCAAGTGCCGTGCATATAAACGCGACGCCATTACATAAGGTTGCTCGAGAATGACGAACGTATTTAATGCAAGTGAGTGAGTACTCACGCGATTCGCGTTGCTCGATAGTATGGTGAGTACCCATTCGTCGACCATTTTCTTCGATCTCGTTGCGCGAATTGCCCGACGAGCGTGGAGTTGTTTTTGCGTGAAATTGGAAGGGAAAGGAAATTACGTCGGGCAATTGCGGAGGAAGGCAACAATCGTGAAAAAAAGTGTCAAAAGATTGTTCCATGTCTCTGGAATTATCTCGCAGCTTCGCAATTGTACCATTGAATAATTGTGAAATTTTCTTTTACCTCTGAACTGGTTGTTTTCTGCTGTTTTAATTTATACAAAGTTGCAGTAGAAATGTAATATTCTGTTGAGAGATCAAACGTAATAAACACAAACAGTAGCAGAGCAGTAACTGCATTACAAAGTGTCATCAGTTCAGGTATTAGCGACTTTACCGAAGCTGTAAAAAGTTATATCTGTTTAGCACGAATTGATTTTTTTTTTTTTTTTTTAGCAGATATTACCTTCCTCCGTAGTTATGTAATATCGCGAGTTTTGCCTTTGGTTACTTGTAAGAAGACAGTGCGTGCTTAAATATAGATGATTATAATTATAATTAAAGTATAATGACGATGAAATAATATGATAACGAGAGATGATGAAGATAAATAATAATTACATCTATCTTATGGGAGTTCAAATTAAATTTAATCTCTACAAATATTCTCAACACCACAGAGAGAACACAAGAACCATAAAACAATTATAAGCAGTTCCATTGCACTAGTTACACACACACATAAGCAAACTTAACGAATTGATAGATTGTGACTGACATGTTATTCGTATGATGCTGCGACAAAGATTGGCTTTAGACAACTATTAAGAAAAAAAAAAAAAAAAGAGAAAGAAAAAGTGCACAGACATAGAGATTGAGTACACATAATCAATGAACGCGCGTGACATGAAAAATGATTCTCTTCAAAATTGATTGTTAAATTATTTAAACCTTCCCTGATGTTACAACTGTGTTGGGAAAAGAAAAAATTAATTGTATCGACACAAATCGGGCTTGAAATTTTGAAAAGTGAAATAAATGCGACGCTTGTAGGAAGTCTGTTCTAAATTCGATACTCTAGACTGGGGAACAACTCTCCCTGAAGTTCATTACCAAAATACCTACCACCCACGTGCTTCGTAACCATTTTTTAAATATTCAACTGGGAGAAACATAATACATTGGTTTTCGGGCTGGTTTATTTTCATTTCTAACATAAGCTCGCTCTTATTGATTGACATTACTTGAAATACCAGATGCTAAGCTCCGAAATTGTCAAGAGGGAGTGATTCTTCCAATTTTATTAATTTTGATTGTAGTATGTCAATACCTTATAAATATGCACAATTTATTCGCGAAATGCTTAAAATAATATTCATTATACCATAGTCTATAAAACAAATTTTTTTAATTTAGATACAATATATACAATATTACGTGTTGATTATTTTTTTTCTTTTTATAAAAATCAGTCTGTTTGAATGCAAAATGAAAAATAGCAGAGGATATAAGGAATTAAATTATAAAATTTATTCGTTTCGATTAATGTTAATGATCTACGATAAACATTAGAATTTCAGTTGAACTGCTTTCAAGTTGGACTGTTTTTATCTTTTCTTTTTTCTCACTTCTATGTTTGTTCAAATATTGCGCTCAAAAAAGGCCGCAAGCGTACCTTTTAATAAATTATGACGTGATCGTGTCTGGATCCAAATTTGTGTAAAGAGCACGCGATAAAACGTTTATGTACTTTCTTAAAATAAACTAACTCTCTTCATAACCATCTATAGGTCAGCGGTTCTTCTCGTAATTTAATATTAATCCACGGTACATCGAATTTCAAACCAAGTACATTAATTATTTCATCCTTTGAAACTTATATGTAACGAGTATTACATGAGTAACGAATTCTTTTTGTTCTTTACGATTCAAAAATATCCACGTTACATCCGACGTTTCGCCTTTGCTGCGACGTTAATAAAAATCAATTATTGCAAACGACATTTAAACGACGCTAACGTCTTACGTTACGATTAAAACATGCACAAAATTAAAAGAATAATTATCGTTTACCAAGCAGTCGAGGCAACTGCCAGACAGTATAACGTTACCAGCGTTAGTATACAAGAGATTGCAACTCAATAAAGAGGACAATAACAAAGAAACGTACACGATTAATATCGTCAACCGTGTACGAATTAACTGAAAATGTGCCAAACTACCAAATGAAACCTACCATCGTTCAGCGTTCTGCTCGAGCTGTTCACTATATTCATGAACTCGTTAAGCCCGTCCTCTTTATTAATGTTTTCGAGCGTCGGCGGCGGAATCGATTCCACGGGATTCCCTTCCGCGGAAACGAAGATCTTGTCGTCTTCCAAGGCATTGTTCGGTTGCGTGGCCGGTGGGCTAGGAGTTAATAGTGGACAATCCGACGCCTCTTCATCCTATGTAAAACGACACGCGTCCGATCTGTATTACATCACTCTCCTTTCCAATATATTCCGTTTCTGTCTTTTCATTTTTTACTCTTTTTTTTTTTTTTTTTTGTTCGTTTCGGTTTCTTTATTATTCACACACGCCCTTTTCAAAGAATAACATAAAATAGCAAAACAGATTTGCAATGTAAAAGATAGAAACATATACGAGAGCAGACGAGCGATAGAAGTATAAAAGAATTTCAGACAACTTTGTTTCTCAGACAAGAAAGAGAGTAATTTTGTGATATTTAAATGCGTGCTGTTTCCTTCTCATAGTTGATAATTTTATAGTTTCATTGATATTATTTTTATTACTATTTTATTACTATAGAATATCGATCGTGTTTATTAATTACTCGCTTCTCAAATTATTATTATTATTGTTTTTTTTTTTATATCGATTCTCAAAATTTCAATTTCAATTATTTTTAGAATCTTGCCATTATCCTCAGATAACTTGTAAGTACAAATGATTTCTAAGATCGTAATAAAGAACATGGCGGAGTTCACGAGTTAGTCAAATACTAATTACTCTTGCTATATTCTTTAACATCATCATTGAAAATGTCTAATAAATGTTATGTTTGTCAGTATGTTTTAAAATTCTTCAATTAATTCAATTTAATGCGACCAATATTCCACAGTTAGAACTCAATATGCATCTACTTCGTTTATCACTCCTATCGCTTATCTGAAATCAAATGTCAGTGCCCAAGCGCATTACCTATCGTGTATAAAAGAAGGATTAAAGAAAAACGGTATCGCAGTATATAAACGGTATAAACATTATATACATTTTTAAAGCAAAGCACGTGAAATTATCTGATCGAGATTAACTTAAGCGATCAACCAATTTCGGGTAAAAATTATTTGTATTGTAATTGCGTAACGTCTCGGTTGCATCTCGGACGTTGATGTCAAAGAAGTTAAAAAAAAAAAAAAAAAAAGGGAGTCTTGGAAAATCATTTCAAGTTATGGGCGCTATTGTCGGCACATGCTATTAAACGTACCTAGATTGTACATAACGTGGCGTTCGTGAGAGAAAACACAAAAAGAACGAAAGAACAAAGCTACTTGTTATTTCTGTCGAACACACCTGTTGGTCTTGATTTATAATGAGTTGCCGCGAACTCGTCGAGGACGCAAGTTCGATCGGCAAAACCCCCAAAAGGCCCTCAGGCTTCTGGATATTCATCTCTGTCAACGTAGAAAAAATCGAATTTGTTTTATCCTCTCCAGTAATCTTCCACACCAGGTGTAAGCAAGTTCACATGAATGTCCAGCAAAAACGTCCGAAAACGACACCACGGTTTCGCTCATCAGAAACCTTTCGTCCCGTTTCCCGTTCAATTTTCGATTGTTCTCACTAGTTCGACGATATCTCTGTCTCGTCCTTCTCACGCACAATTTCACAGCACGGCACAATTTTACTCTCGTCAGTTCGTTTCTTCTTTCGAAGGGATATATCCTCGTGTCTGAATCTAGTTGTATACAAGCACGTAGGAAATGAAAGGAATGCCAAGTGGCATTTTTCTGCGCCTCGAGTTTTCGCACGACGGCAGTATTAACAAGGGGACTTTAACTGCAGCTGCACATACCGCGACGAAACGCGATCTTTACGAAGCGAGCACGGTGCACGAAGCAATATGCACGCCCGAACGAAACGCGATCCACGGTCGTCATATTTACGAACTGTACGCCGACTGGTAAAGTGCGACGACTATTGATCGAGAAATTCTATGAACGACGCGTTTCGCCGAGCCACGATTTTCTCCCCTAATCCATTAAACGGGATCGTTGAAAAGGGCTGTCCAAATGATCCTCGGGATTCGTCATTGTTCCGCTGTCGCGCTCCTCCGGCGAGTATGCTTTGTTATTACGTCATATATATACCAGAGCGTGTATTTTTGTAAAACGGAAATTATACGACCGTGGTTTTTTTTTTTCTTATTAGACTTCGAACGTTCAGGCATCGACGGCGAGATTTCAATTTGCAGAATCTCAGCGTACGCAGATCGAACGTGTGACGCGGAGAAGTGCAGAAAAAAAGAAAAAGGAAAACGAATATATCGGAATTGCGTCAGAGCGGCTGTTATAATTAGACTGTGGATGGTTGTGCGTTTATGAGAAATTTTGAACGTGTAGAAATACGCGCAATGTAAATGTTTGGTTTATTAGTTCTTGCAAGGTCACTGAGAAATTCAAGATGAGCTTGACTCCATTATGCAGAAAAAAAATGATGTTCGTCGGTAGATTATGAGTGCTTGTGCGTTTAACTTGATTTGAAGATAAAAATGTAGAAGTACACACAATGCACAGAATATACGATAGTGAAAGCGTGTAAAATATTCGACGTGAACAATTTTTATAAGGTGAATTTGGATAAACGTCGCACAATCTAGTTATTACAGGCATGAACAGGTATAAATACAATGTTAGTTAATTGAGCTTAATTTCCTGAGCTAATGGAGCTAAGTGTGTTTAAAAATTATGAATAAAATCGTGAAAATGTCGCTTAGAAATTTTTGGCGACTTAAGGAAAAATATATTGGATTCTTTGTGACGCTTCGCGTGCGTGCGAACACTACCAGTGAACAAAGTGCATAACGAAAAATCTATCCTAATTTGAACCAGTGTAAATTTTGATGATGCAATCAAATGTGGCCGCGTGACGAATTTCAACAAGGCTGTTGATTCAAACATTTACGCTTGTTCGTTGAATGTGTTTCTAAGAATAAGAGGGGTCACGCTGATTCTATGTCAATTTAGTTTGTAACGGACTAATTGCAAAATAAACATTTGTACACGTGCAAGACATTCGCGTTCGCCATTTTTATGAATGTGTGATAGCAATTATAAATAAACGGCAGAAAATTGTTTACAACTGCTATGGTACAAAAGGTGCAATAGTGAAAAATCGTGTGTAATAATTCGAACGGAATGTTACTGTATTTTCCAATGTTTTCACTAAACTGTGGATGCTTGTGCAAGTTCATAACTTTTTATGAATGTAATCAAAAAAATAGACTCGAAATGGAATTTTGTTTCATCAGTTGAATCTGCGAGTGTTTTACCTTATACATTTACATATTGTGTTTTGTGCATTTCTACATTTTATTGTATTTTATATATTTTTCCAATGAAATTGGAGCATTCTTTCCCTCCAAATGTACGCGATTAAATTCTCCATGAACGCGTCAACATCCACATTCCAGCGATTACATAAAGCTATCGTTTCCTGTAGGAAACCACTTGCGCAATATCTGTCACGCGCCTTTCATTATCAATGCATTCAACAAGATTTATTCATTATCAACAGGAAATGTGATTCTACGTCATCTACTGTCTCAGTAGCCGATAAAAATTAGAAATTATCCAAGAAATTCGGACTTATCCAATTTACCTGTAATACGGTCGGTTACCACGTGACAAAGACGACATCGGCAGAAGACCTAAAACACATATAGAACCGTTCCTCGAGAAACCTTCACCCCCGGAAAAATCACAGAAACTAACCAAGAGATTCGCTTCGAGACCGGTCGCTGACTCAATATGTTTGATACGTCACGACTATCGTTCACTACGTGTGCGATTCTCCGCTACGGAGGAACCTACCAACGAAGCAAACGACAACAAAATATCACTACCGAGGACGATGTATGTGCTTTCGGATGTTGATGACCATCCTGCTGTCCCCAGCCGTAGAGAGAATCGCGTGCCTCCGCGTAGTATATTTAGCAACACCGTTTCGTTCCGTTTAGTCCCGTGGTGTCTCGCTTTCCTGACCGAGACGTTCGCGCCCTCCTCGAGTCTGCGCTCTTGCCGATGTACGTGCAATTCATCGTGTCAACTGCGACGATTAGAGGCTCAATAACCTCGATGTTACATCAGTTTCTATCGACATTAACAATAATCCATGGGGCAATAGGATTGTTCGAAAAATTCGCTTAGAATTCATTCGAATTGTAACAACTTTGTAGGTAAAGCATTGGAAGAGTAATGTGAAGGAAATAAGCTGCAGAGGAAAATAAAGAGTTATATAAGAATAAAAAAAGAGCTATTTAGTTATCAACTCAGAGAATTCAAGAGTTAAATTAATTAATCGATCGATGTAGTGTGATGCAAGTGTGTAAATTAATTAATCGATCGATGTAGTAATTGCAATTTGTATGAAAACAAATTGTTTAAATCGTAAAATTTTTGCAAATCGCAAAATTAAAATTCTGAATAAAGTTTGATAATTTGTTAATGTTTCAAAATCTTTTTTTTCTGGCTCCTTAAAGAATGTTAACATAAATACATGCAGGTTGCCAATTTCATTTTTTATCGACAGTAGTTATATGAGGATATGATCAAGTGCATCTAGTTTGCGATAATATGTTATAGAGGACGACACTTTGACGTTTTAATATTATTATTACTATATTACAGGGCATCCTACGCCCCCCTGCAGGCAGTATCACCGACTGATGGCGCCACCATACCCAAATAGAAGCACTTTGCTGTAATTTAGAAAAAAACCAATAAAGAGGAATAATTTGTCAACTTTGGAAATTGTGTCGTCCATTTAAGACACCTAACTTTCATTTTATGCTCCATTTACAGTTCAGAGTGTACTAATAAAAATTTTTAAATTTTGTACAATAGATCAAAAGTTCTGTGAGAGGGTTGAATTTCTCGCAAACTACATTGAATGTTGGAACAAGGGTTGTTTGTGAACGTAGTCGGTGTTACCATCTTCGAAACATATACGTAACAAATGCAAATTATTGGTGTAAATAATTAAAATTAATTATTTTCTTTATTATGAATACATAGGATTTAGTTCTTCCATTTCGCCACAACGCGACGCTAGTGTTTGTTATCCCATAAAACACAGAAATTTTATGTTATTAGAATAACAATTATAGATTTGTCTATTACTAAATAATTTTCAACAAATTATAAACGTTTGTGCTCTGAGTTCATTAAGCATAACATTATATAACATACTCAAAAAATTAAACACGTGTACAAGTGTAATAAACACTTCCGAATATAATATTCACACAAACGACAATGTTTGCTTTTCATAAAATTCTTATTAATAATTAAATTTGTTTCGTGAAATTAACATAACGTACAATTAAAAGTGTTCCAGTAAGAAATACAACTATAAATGGTATTGAAGATGTGCCATCTTTAATTAAATTCTATGTTTATTAATTAATAGTTAATTTCGTTCGATTAAGCTAAATTAATGCATAAGATTATACACAGATATTCATGTGTAAATATGTACGACATACTATGCTTTTTGTTGAAAGTATTCGTGTAGAATACTGCTTTTCCAATAAATCGATCGAATCGTATTTTCGCGCGCTTATACCTCACCCCTCCAAATTAGTTCATGGCGCGAATTTATTGGTGGACGGGTTACTGTATTGTTGATCGTCGACTCGTCAAGACGTGTTACTCTGCGTGATGTTTATTGACTGCGGGAAACTTTCATCAATATCTCTTCGACGTTCGTATTCACATTAACTACGTTAGCTTCGTTCGATCAAGGTACTTTCTACTCAGTAATTTATCGAATATGACTGTATTTTATAACTAAATTATTCTTTCCTTGTTGATCGTTTTTTTTGTCATGAAAGTTTCCGAAAGTATTTTGGTCATAAAAGTTTCGATGTGACTTGACTTGATTTCGATGATTGCTCCTCTAATTTTATATAACTTGTTCCTTTGGTACATTTATCTAGAAGTCTTGGTTTCCTTTTCTACAGATTACTGGTAAATTGCGAGGGAAATTTCGAAGTTTCAGAGGGCGCCATGAAATCAAATATGGCGCTGTGGAATTCAAACGGACGTCATTATAATTATTCATAAATCCGGTAGAGTTTCATGAAGACATAATGCAATTTGATTTATTGCAGTGAAGACAGAGGTATTTATATATGTTCTTTTTTTTATTGCATAATGTTGTTAACGTTTGCTCGATACTTAACCGATATATGTATTTGCTTCATAATTTATATACAATATTACAAAAGTTTATAAAGGACACTAACAATAGGATGAAAGTCGACAAGATTAAACGAGCTACTCATTTAGGTTATCTTCTTTTTCTTCAATTATTATTAATTAATAAAATCTAATTTTGACAATAGATTTCCAATTCTTATAGTAATATATAATAACATATAGTATATATTATAGTAATATATAATAACATATAGTATGTATTATAGTAATATATAATAATATATAGTATATATATACATACATACATATACAATAATATATAGCAATTAATAAAAATTATAATAATTTCAATATCTTTTAGAATAAGTCACAGTGTAATTCAAATTTTAATTAAATCATATTTAAATATTCGTATGAATATTTTCGTTTCTCTTTAAGAATTTTTTATGAATTTTGTGTATTTGAGTTAGACCAGAGTTTTTTTATTTTTTATTTTCAGTTGATATGTCGTGCGAAACGTGCGATTACAGCGCCCCAACGGTGAAATATGCAATATACTTCCTACGATTCTCGAACGTGATCGATATTTCTTACTTTTCGACTTTTAAGCGGGATGCATGGCGGAAGAAGCACACTCCATCTGTAAAGAAAGAAGTATTATCCAGGAGAATCACTCAGCAGAAGTATCATCCAGAAATTCTCAGGTTGACATTTAAATCAATAGTTGTTAGATTTGTGTTTGTATTTTGAATTTTTAAGACAGAACGTGCATTTTTCAACTTCTTGGTAAGACTTAACCTTCAACTCTAGGTAAGATTTAACCAAATAATTATTACATATAATTTTGAACAATTAAAGAAATAATGGCATATGAATATATAAACATATCATACCAGGCTAAAAATAATTTATAATTTTATATCAAAATTTAATTTCAATTTTAACCAGTACAAATATTGTAACTTTGTAATATGACTAACTCATTGCTTTATTTATTATATAAACATTTTCGAATATTTATAATATAATACATGATATATTACTAATGTGCATATTTCACTTTAATAATATTCAGAGTTAATTTCTACAAATATTTCTGCAAATATTGAGAAATATTTTATAATTTCCAACTATATATATTTAATGCATACTTAAGTTTATAATCATTTTCTGGAAAAATAGCACTGTTTTCAAAATGAACGTACTCCTTGCCCTTCCCCTTTTAACCAGCTTTATTTTCAGAAAATTTTTGTGATCGCGTGCAATGCGTTTGGTAGAATCAGTGTTTGTTGCGCAATATTTTAATATTTTTCTGAGCAGAATGGCTCTCATAAATCAGATGATTAATTTATTTGAATTATAATTTGTGAAGTTAGAGTCAGTAAGTCCGCCGATTGATAGTCGCTCGTTGATAGTCTTTTATTTTTCTTTTCTTATATTTTTTCTTATTCAACATTCGTTTCCGGTATATTAGAGTCAGTGCTCAAGAGGATAAGGTCTCTCCTGGAGATCAAGATCGTAAGTAGTTTTTATATAGTATACTTCACTTTACTCAATTCTTCAAATTTAACAACAAAGTGTAAAGTTTGACATTTTGTTACAGACGCTTCACAGCATCAATTTTTTGGCATATTTTGGGGAATATCCAACGGTGGCTGCAAAGCCAAAAATGTAAGAATCTCTCATTATCTCCACCTTAAGATTTTGCTTTGCTTGTAAACATAAATTCTAATGTTTAATGTTTTGTTACAGATTTTCTACAATCTCCACTTCCCCTAATCTTTTGTGGATCTTACGATGCTTCAAAAGCTAAAAATGTAAATATTTAGCATGTTGTATTTAAATTATAGCACTCTTTCTATTGAAATTGAATGTAAAATTATAATTGTAAAATAAAAACACTTCAAATTATTAGTTCGAATTTTTATCATTATTAAAATTTAAATTTTCACGAATAACACTGTGTCTTTAGGAACAAAATATTTTGTTTTTCAGGAAATTTTTCACGGCATTCACTTCCACCATGGGGATGAGGGTCTTCACGATAACTTTCCCAGCATCGATGATAACGTTCTTCACATCTGTCGCGTGAGTCGCATGCATTTATGTTCCTCCGGTCATTCAACCATGTCGTAGGACGAAAGATCCGAATCGGCACGAGTGACTGGTTGTATACGTAGAGTTTTTGACGAGCATAGTGACCGCGGATATTTTTTATATCTGCGAGTAGTAACATTTTTTTCAGGTGTTTTATGTATTAGATCAGGATAGGGCTTCTTGCACATCGCGATTTTAATAATTAGAATATATATATTTATAGTAATTACTTATAAAATCAAAATATCATCAATATAAATGTTTGCAAAAGTAAAATATTCATATGAATAGATAAATTATAAATATTTATGAATAATTATTATTAAAATTATTTCGTTTGAGCATATCATAGTAGAGAAGATGGATGTCCTCCAACTTCGTTGCTATGAAAGATGCAGTTATTACTTATTGATATTGGTGATATATTTTGTTACAATAATTAATAATTTTTAATTTCATTTTCTCTTTTATGATAGTATTAAATGACTTAATTAATTGAGTTTTAAAATTATGAGCTTCAATACAATTTGAAATATATAGTAGATTAGAATTCTTTCCGTAGAAAAATATATAAAACTTTATGTGTAAGAAGCTACTTCGCGACAGTCAGATTTTTGAATCAAGGCAACAAGTTTGGACATTACTTTTGCATTTTCGAAAATGTGCTTTGATAAAGAAATCGCCTGAGGTTATTTCTATTAATATTTGATTTAGAATTAGTTGTTTGATTTTGATTGCTTGAGTCAATTATTAGATTTCATAATATCTTGTTTAATAAATTCAGTTCTTGCCCATTGTCTTTATTTTTGAAAGAATAGAGTCATTATAGTTTGAAATAAAATAATGCAGTAGTCCGTTAGATACAAATTAAATACACAAACTAATCATTTTTTAGTTCAGGATTTTCAGGTTTAACCCCTTCCGTGTTCATTGTCAGGATCTCACTCACGTGCCCAGGTGCTACTTGGGTGGGTGAAAGACATTGGGCACGATGACCATAGTTTGTAATTTTATAAAAAATTTCTTAGCGACTGACAATGTGTTAGCGTATCGTGCACGACGTATTTTCCGCATATGTGTGTATGGTTAGGATGTGGAATTGCGTCGTTTCTATTGTTCTATTCATTATAATTTGAAATATTTAAAATATTTATGCACTAATCAAGAATTACGAATATATTATCATAATACGTAATAAATACTACTATATAAACTATATATACTATTATATAAACTATAATTATATTATTATTATTACAACTATATTGTCAATTATAATTATGATTCCAAGTCAACTTGTACATGTAATTTCTATAGTAATTATGTGCATCTTTTCTTAGTTGTTAATATCTCGCATATAGCTGTAAACGTGTTTTAATCACGTGCTTTACGCAATGTTCTCTAGCCATTGTCAGTCGATTTCAGGAAAATGGTACGTAAATTAGAGTGTGAAAGTTGTGTGTTAAGCTCGGGTGTCGGAGGNTGAAAAATCGACAGTGAAATTGGTACAAATTGAGCATGCCATTTGTTTCTGGTTTTACTCTTCGATTTTTCGAATTTAGTACCGCGGTCGCGGTCGTGGATAGGTCGCGAGTAGGTCCCGAAACGAACGTATATGTAGGTATTGCTCGAGCACGCACATGCGAACGGACAACGATCACTACGATCGATGGTCGTCCGTGTGTATTGAGGTCAGTTTTCGCGGTTCTATCTTTTCATTTTACCGTCTATAAGTTATTTCTCGGTTTGCGATTGGAAAGACTCGAGCTAGATGTAAGTTTCAGCGGGCATTGCGCTCGAAGAAAGAAGAAGCTAATAGCCGAAGAGGCCCGGCAAACTGCCACGAAGAGGGTCGCAACAAATGACTTCTCATCCTCTGGATCATCTGAACGATTCCAGAGCATGGGAAGTCATTCTCGTTACTACTTTGTCACTATGCTCTTTTAGTATTTGTAGTTGTATTTTTGTTTGTATTTTCTTCATCATCGTTTATCATCGTTCCGGACAAATCGCGGTTTTTCTTGTTAGTGTTGCGAAAAATTAATTACGGGAATCAATTGATTTTGAACATTTCCTGTTTCATTATTAGTTGTACTAATAAATTAGTGTTGCGAAATAAGATACGGTTTGTTGCTCGAGTTCATGTCGAATGTAGATTTGACGATAGCCCCTCTGGTTATTGTACTGAGTAGAAAATATTTTTCAGTAGGCCTTGTGGCTACTGTTTTAGACTTTTTTTTGCCAGTAGCCCTTCTGGTTACTGTGTTAGATTTTCTTTTTCAGCATCCCTCACTACTACGTTCGTTATTGAAAATACTGCTAGAAAAATATATATTTTTTTATTAGCTATAACTTTGTTACGAGTTTTAGAATGCAGAATTTTATTGTAAATTTAATATATTTACATACATGGAAATGTAAATGATCTCATGTGCCATATATGTACATATGTACCATATACTGAAACACGTGGGTAGAATTCTTTTATATATGTAACTCTGATATATAACAGAATGCTTTCAGTCACATTTCGATGAAAATTGAAAATTGACAACGCTGTAATGGATTTCAAAAATCCAAATTTCTGGCGTATTCACTACTTGATCAACTTCGATCGTTTTACTTGATGTAGTTCCCCAATTCACCGTTGTTTCTAATTGATATAACTCGTCTATGGATCCGACATTGCAGAGGGCGTACGACGTATTTTGATCATCTTTATGGTCGGTATTTCAGAATAGCGAGGTAAGAAGTTTCATCAGTAAGTAATTTATTCATTAACTTAATTATTGACTAATGATAGTATGTCAAATCTATTCTGTTTCAATGATCAGATTTTTCTCTAATGTATTTAGATTTAAAATTGTGAAAACTACATTATCGACAATGTGTTGATAATTTTGTAATTAGAATTTATAACAAATTTTTAGTACACTTTCCAATGCATGTTAATTAAATTTTCTTTCATATTTCACATAAAACTTTGATGATCAAGACTGTATTTATATGAGTATTTTATTCATCATGAATTACTTGATAGAAAAATATGTAAATTTATATTGCGTTGATTGGAATTGGTTTTTTGACCATTGTTTCTAGAGTGTGCGTTCTCATAATTTTGCGTTACGTATATTATTTCAAAAATTATCTTGTTACTTCGCTCCATGTCATATATGTAGACTGTGGTACACCATTATCCATGTATTTGTACTATATTTACCCCAAAATGAGCTTAGAGACAGTTATGTGTAATTAACGTGAAGTTTCCTCCTGAAATCATGATGTATATGCACCGATGCATTTGCTGAATTAACTAGTTAAACATAATAAACCTTCGTTTCGTTTCAATATCATTCCATGTAATTTAAACAATGAAGCTGTTGTTTGATAATCTTTGAATCTTCAAGGGAAACTAATTCATCAGCAACAAAGTGATATTGTAAAAATTTAAAAAAAATCGGTATCTGTATGTCGATAACATGACAAAAGAGATTACAAGAAATAGGTTACCAACGCATTAAAATTTTTCTATAATATTATAAGTAATGGAATGATTTTTTTATTAAATTTTTTTTACTTGTTGAAATAATGAAAATTGCTTTTATTGCACAGTGGGAATAATTTGGGATGGATAGACGTAATAGTATAGTGATTGATGCTCTCAGCGAGATAGATATTTACGAATATAGGAATGTAATACACGTACAATTAATGGATGATGTGTAACATAGAATTTCGGTATTGGCGTTCTCTTCGTGTCTACATTAACGAAACTAGCTGCACGGTTAATCAATACGCTTGCAACCACTAGCACATTTTGCGTTCCTTAGTAGCCTACCTAAGTAGATTAGTTCATACATCGTAAGCCAAAACAACGTATGACGTTTTATTTACGTCATAGTACTAGTTATCAGTTACAGTTAAGTACAAGAGTGATATTAATTAATAGTTAGTAGTAATATAAACGGTTGAAATAATACAATACATTCGAAATTATAATTTTTAATTTTCGAAGAAAATCTCTAAAATGTAGAGAAGATTTTTATTCTAATTTTGGTCGTAAGCTAAGTTTAATAATAACTTTCAAATATATGCAATAAAATCTCTTAAACCTTATGGAATGCGTAGTCAAGAAAATCCGGATATAGATGATACCAAGAGCCTTAAGGTCGTTAAACTCAATATCGGAGGCTCCGGAATACGTAGAGAACAAAACACAGTATCAGTGGCTTATAGAACCTATCTTATCTATTCTGACTACTTCTGGACTGAGGAACTGGATTTCAACGGTAGACAATATAACAGGCTACAAAATACAGAATTCTAGATATCCAGGAGTGAATATCGCAAGTGAATGTTTGAAATTGTAATACACAGTCTGGTTTCGAAGATTATTATCTCTATAAGATGAGACAATAAAGAATCATAATTGTAACATCATATAATCCTCTATTATGAATTTTACTATATTTCATATTATATAAATATTATTATCATTATCGTTTGGGTGTCAGATTATTGGCTGTGTCAGGAATGTTTTCTAAAACTAGTCGTTTTTATACGTGGAATTTAAACGTATCTAAAATTATTCATAACGATTCAGCGTATACATGAGATGATTCAATTACGATGAAATAGATTAGAAATAGCGATTTCAGATGTCTCCTGGTACCACGGTATGTATTTGGAATTGTATTAGTAATACTGTATAGGTCAGAGAGGATTTGTGTGAGTTGGATGTAATCCAGGAAGGCCTGAGTTACTCTTGATAGTTTATTTTTTAAAGCAGGGGGAACTAGGTTTAACGCATGAGTATATTATTGTGTTTGATTTATAAATTGTTTCCTCGAACACAACTATTTTAAAAACTATTATCGAATCGATATTATCAATACAAATTGTCACCGAATTACTTTCTATTGAGATAAACTTAAAATTCATTTAGCTAAGGTTATATTGAAATTTACTATGTATGACATTTCTGTTATCAATGTTATCAGATAAAATGCGCACAGCAAAGTTCATAAACGCATATCTGTGCGGGCGGATATTTATATTCAATCGTTACAGATATATTTCGATTATATGCTTTTAAACGTATATATATATACATAAACTCGCGAGTATCAGTACATGACATTTAAATATTTCCAGCTTTTCCATTCAGTTCCAATGAATTTTTCACAGTTATGAAAGAATTATCGAACGCAGGACAGAATCATTTCGTCAAATTACTAAATAAAAATATAACGAAATCGAATAGTCTGTTTGGAGCAAAGAGGAGCATGTCACAATAGAACCCGCGGAAATTAACAGAAGAAACTTCGTTGGCGAAAGTTTTGTCAAGTTAGATAAAGAAAATGAACGAAGTGCGGTTTCTATCACAAGTCTCAGCTTTGCGGAATACCACTTGAAACGTGCTTCGAATATCAATGCATTTTTTTGGTGCAATTTCGTATTTATAATTTGTTACTAGTTCGATTATAAATCTTCATCTCGGTAGAGGCTGTTCCGTTCGTATTTATATCGATATTATACTTCACCAAGAAAAAGAAGGAACATTATACATTCTTGTACTCTGATACAAGTTTACCAACTTTTATATTATTCTTTCCTACATAACCATTTCTGTGCCAGAAAAATCAATAACAGATAGGTACTCGTAGGGAAGTCAATTTAAATGAAAACGCCGAGGTTCTGCGTAGCTAGAGTACGATGTTGAACGCGTAGCGCCATCAACGTAAACGATGACGCAAAATAAGAACAGATAGGAATGAGACAAGTGGTAATCGGAGCGCAAGAACGTTTGTACGTTACGTCATTCTTGCACTTAGGATGGCAATCGTGGGCGACTGATCAGATGTCGAGTTGGAGTTGAGAAAAGATCCGAGTAAAATGGTTCTCGTGTGATGCCTGAAACGAGTAAGACGACCACCGACACGACGCATTGAAAGCGAGCCACGAAAGTTTCGCTCTTCTTCGCCCGGCTACTTTTCAGAAATATTTTTCTCGGTTCAAGCCACGCGGTCCAACAAGACTGTTACATAATTCCCAATATATCTGTACACGTGGCTCAATTATTGTTTATAGACGCAAAATTATGTGAAATACGAAAGAAATTTACAAAATTTAATAAAATTAATTCACTAATTATATTCCTTTAACTGGTAATTGAAACGCACTGTAAAAAAAAACAATTATGTAGGTATATAATATCAGCTCATTTTCGTTGAAATAATAATTTAATATAATTTTTTCAGATGTGAAATACATGGCCAGATACGTTAGTAACTACTGATGTATTGCTGCAGAGAGAACCAGAGCAAGTAGTATTACCGCAGAACAAGGGAAACGATTTCCCAGAGGTACAAGTCAGCATTTGATGCTAGCTTGGGAGTAATGAACCCGTTATTGATACTTCCGTATCATAGCTTCATTTAATTCTATCTGTAAATACCAACTGATTCAAATTCTACGAAAAGATTAGAAAATAATAGCCGGTGATTGGTAATAAAGGATTATCAAATGTTATGTTGAAAAATATATACATATATAATACTATCATATATACTATCATCGCATCATTTAGAATACTATCAGTTAATCGAATGTTATATTGCTCTATTTCAGATGTGTTTCGCAAAAACAGCAAATACTAGACATTGCGTGTCCTCCAGCTCGTTCAACTTTATGTTACAGTCGCTTCTCACGCGAGCAACAACGCTTTACGTGCAGTCATCTCGACGAACCAATTTTCTGCCTAAACTATGCAGGTTTGAAATATCTTAAGCTCACAATGTTAATGGTCTCTCACTTTACCAATTAGAAATATATCGAAATATCGTCTCCCTTAAAATAATTTTTCCTACGAAAAGATGTACGAATGTAATACGAATTCTAAATTTTTATTGGCTCTAAACTTGATGGAACATTCGTGAGTAATTGAAAGTCCATCCATTTCTGAGAGTAAAATATGAAAATGACGGGGGGAGGGGGGGGGGGGGAAGAAAGTCAGTCGAATAATTTTCCTGAATTTTTTAATTTACGAACGAATATAAAAAAAGAAGTGACGGTGTTGTTCTAGAATGCAAGAATAAGCTAAAACATTCGAAAGGCAAATAAAGAAATCTATTAAGATCTCTGACTCGTACTTCTCGTACATTCTGCTTAATCAATTTCTGGTAGGACATACCACGCGGTGATTCCTATACACGGAAAACGTTTAAACTGTGTTTGGCACGATGCCTATCAGAATGATTAACACGACGCAGATTTATATGCGACTGCGTGTTGCACTGTACGAACGACATAAAGAAAAAAGAAAACAAAAAAAAAAAAAAAAAAAATTGAGGGATACATTTATCTATGTTAAGTTACGACTAGATCCTAGAAACGAGAGTTATTTGTTCATANAAAAAAAAAAAAAAAAAAAAAAAAAAAAAAAAAAAAAACAGGAAAAAGTAAGAAGAAAGGACAGAAACGAGAAAATAGATGATGTATGATTAATCGCAGATGTTAAAAGAAGTGTTCTGAGAGATTTGAAGAGCAAGTTGACTGGACGTCGATCGAGCGTTCAATCGTCGACAGAAACGTCGAATTAGAAATGAGGAAACAATCGAAGCGAAATGCACGGCAGTTCCGCGAGAACAGCCGAAAGGGGTGGCTGATTCGTGGTCGCTCATCGAAACGATCGCCGAACGTCGGTGACGTTCGTATGTCTCCGACAATGCGCGCCGGCGCTATGCAACCCGCTTGACGTAGCATCATGGCGGCGGCGTGTCGGAGGCGTCTCCGTCCGCACAGTGCTCGACGTCGAGCAGTCCGCGTACGTTCGCAACAACGTTTCACCGCATTAATGTGATAGTGTACCCGGAGCATCGCACACGTCCGCGGCCACGGTTCAATCTCGTGTTTCATGTCGTAATATCATCAACAATCAGAAGAACAACGTGCGACAACGGGACGTCGCGAGCAGTGATAGCGCGACGAAAACATACAGAGAGAGAGAGAGAGAAAGAGAAAGAGAGAGAGAGAGAGAGCAGTGTGAACTCGATCGGTCCCGTTCGCAATAATTCTCGTTGATTTAGCTCGTGGTGCGTGCTATTCATTCCCCCGTATCCTTTACATCTTCGTTTCTCCTCATTCCCTTTGCCACCCGTTTCTCTCTCTTTCTCTCTCTCTCTCTCACACACACTCTCTCTCTCTCTCTCTTTCTCTTCTTTCACATCTCTCTTTTCTTCTCACCCTCTGTCCACTGATTCCTCGCGAAACTCTACTTTCGTAAGCATATATATCTATATACATATATACATATATATATCTATATACATAGATATACACGCGCGTATATCTAGTTTCTTCGGTTCCTGATCCGTGCTCCCCTTTATCCGTCCCGTTTTTCTCAGTGATCGTTGTGAAATGCCCGTGATTACCGGTCGTGCCTCTCGACGACGAGAAGGACGTGGCGGCTGTCGTTGGTCTACGGTTCCTTGACGAGCACGGGATACGTGCAAACCGGCGCATGCACTGCAGCTCCTGCTACTATGATAATAACGAGAAAGGTGGCACGGTGGGCGCTCCTCCTGAAGCGAGAGGCGCTCGGCCGAACCTACGGTGCACAAAAGCGGTCCGAACAAGCACCCCGCGGTGCCACGGCGATGCTGCCTCATTCCGGCCGGATGGTAGATGACAACATCGACACCGACACCGACACCGACACCGTGGCCACCGACCTGCACAGGACCAGCAGCTGCGTCGCGCTGGCGCTGCCGTTGCCGTTCCCGTACTACTACGAATACTACTACTATCCTCGTGCTACTAGGATCGCCGCCTCGTTGTTAAACTCAGATCGCCCCACGCTCACCGGCCACCACGAGGACGACGACTACTTGCTATCGTTACTCGCCAGAATCGACGAGCCGCAAGTGGAACCAAAGTGCTTTGACTTAGCAGCCAGCTCGACCAAAATCCAGCCGAAGGAGCAACAGGACGAACGGGAGGTGCACGGTGAACAGGAAACGGAGAACGTAGCCAGCCTCACGAACGACAAGGAAGTAACAGTGCTCGCGAACGTGAACAGTAACCGTCTTGATCGCCAGTACGTGCGAGTACGATTTTTTTCCGCGTGACCAACAGCCACTCGTTGTTACGCCGCGTCGATGATAATAATCGGCCAAGTGCGATTCGATGCAATACCGGCGTGGTATAACGATCACGACTGGAAACGGAACGACCCTTCGGAACGTGCATACGCAGCATATGCCGAACGCAATAATACGCACGTTCAATACGCTGTTCTGATGAATTAAGCAGAGCCCGAGCTTCTGAGATATACTCACGCAAAATTGACAAACGGAGTACGTACATTGTCGTGCATATCGCGCGTGATCATTCTCTCTCGTGTGCATTCGTCGTTGATGAATCGGTGACAGTCGAATCGACGAGCAGAGTGCGCGTATGTAGTAAAGTTCGAGTTAAATTATCATAAACTTTACAGGCTCGTTGTCGAGATCGTGGCTTCGAGCCTGCTGGTACTACGTGGAGATCTTCGCCGGCATTCGTGTACAATCGACGAGAGCGGAGCGTTGCGCGACAACGCTCGCCGGGATATCGTAGCAGAACCAAGATAACCTCGTTGTTGTGTTGGTGCACGCGTGCCGGGTGCGGAAGAGAAAAACTCGTTGCGAGAAAGGACACGCTGTGAATACGTAGCGCCGTATGCGAATGAGGAGGGAAGAAAACAAACAAAAAAAAAAAAAAAGAAAAACAGTAAACATACGAGGGAAATAGAGAACAAAGGAACGGGAGAAGTGTGATATCGGACTGCCCGTTGCATTCGTACTCCTGCCCTGAAATTTCGATTCGTGTAGCGCCATATCGCGACACACATATATACATATTGTATCCTTCTCTGTCTGTCTGTCTGTTCCCCCTCTTGCGCTCCCCTCTCCATCTTTTTCTCTCTGTTTTTTTCTCTGTAATATTTACACACACCACACACACACACACACATACAGACACACATAAGCATACGTATTATATACATATATATATATATACATATATATATACATATATACGAGTATATATGTACATATAAACACACGCGTGTTTCTCTCGTATTCACACGTTATACGTGGGTAGAGGCGCACAGTACGGAAACGAAAAAAAAAAAAGAAAAAAAAAAAGGAAAATAGTAATATCGGTGCGGAGAGAGGGTTGTACGTTGTATACGCGAGTGTGCTCCTTCGATCCGGCGTGTCTCGTTATATAGCTGCATCACTTTCCTACGGATCTCTACGCCACATGAAGCGTCGCTTGGCCAATTAAGCGAAACTCTCAGCGTTAAGCCGATATACCAAGAACACCTTCGAATATGTCGCTGCTCAGCGTCACGGGTGAGTCTTTCCCCCCCTCTTCTACATTTTCATTTTCTTCTCTTTTCCCCCTGAACCACACCGGTTCAAAATGACGACCGGACGAAAATGACGATGTTTTTCGCCATCGTGGCATCTCTGTTTTATCGAAATCGTTTCCCGTTCTTACTTTATCTATGCCCCGTCTCCTTTTAACTCCTACGCATTTACATTTATATATCCATTTTTTTACTCCAATCCCGTTTCTTCAATGCGTAGCTTAACTACCACACGTTTGTTTTGCTTCGTTTTACAATTGACAAGAGAATTTTTGCGACTGTTGTTTCCTGCGAATGTCGTTCCGCCGCTTAAGTGGGTTATTTTATTCTAGAACGGTTCTCCATCCGAAATTCTCTGGATGAACGCGAAAAGAGAGTTATAGAACTGGTGATAAAGTAAGGTTAGAGCAGTCTTGCTAGGTTGGCTGCCTTGGAACGGCCCCGAATATTTTACGGCGCCCTCATCAGATTTAAAACTTTTTTCTTGTTTTTTTTTTTTTTTGTTTAGAAGAGTGAATGCTTCTAAGCAAACTTGTACAAACAAGTGAAGAATATTTGGAGCACGAAGTAGCTAAGGGTGGAATAGAAATTTCCAACACTCGTCCCGAGAATATTAAGTACGATGAAAAGAGGAAGGGGGGGGGGAGGGCGATTGATGGATGTTACTCATTATGCAAATAATTAAAGATATTTACTGATGCGTCCTGTATTTCGAGTATAGTGAACAATATTTTTCCCTACAGTTTTATTTCTCCAGTCTGTATAACCCGTGATGAATAAACAGCGTTTGTTTGAAAACGCTGGATATTTATTTCTACCGAATGTATAGAAGTAACAGGTATAGAAGAAATTGTCGTTTCCACAAATTCAGGAAACATAAATGAAGTAAAAAAGTAATAAATAAATAATGGAAACAAACAAATGTCTCTTATTCGACTTATGTTTAAACAGTCCTTTGACGCAAAGTCCCCCACGCAATTTACAAACTTATATTCTATTTCCCGCGTATAAAAAATATGCAATGAAATTTTTCTGAAATTTAATTACGTAATTAAATTAAATTACCATCTCGTTCTTGAATACGTAAATAGTAACAGAGATAGACATCACATTTTATTATTGATTTACATCATATTTATTATTAATTTAGGAATGTACAGGTTTAACACTAATTTTGAATAAAGCAGTCGCTATACGATGGATAATCCATTCCATCATAAAATGAGCAAGCATCAATTAATTCATTGTACAATTACAGTTTATAGAAACATGCAACTATGCATAAGCAACGTTCATAGCTAAAAACTTTCAGCATTTATTTTATTCAACATAGTAACTTGTTATCTATTTAGTTTCTTAGTCTGAAAATAACTTTCTTGCATTTTAGGGAAATAAGGAGATTTTACAACGAAGAAAAATATCTAGAACAAATTAAACAAAGGAAAGAGTTGCATTTGATGAATAGAACCAATCATTTTTTCAAACTTTGTATCACGCACGGAATTTCTGGCGTAATTGCTGAAATGACCAAAGTTAGAAATTACGTTTCGTAAAATGGATCTCCGTGCAAGGGAGAAGGGGTGTCCTTTTTATTGGAAAACCATTGGAAGATGAGAATAGAGAGGACAAGGAAGGAGTAGGGTTAAAAGTCGATGTGATAATTTCATTGATATCGAACAGCGAGGCTACTCTCCGATCTTTCTCCGCTTTTAGCAGATACTAAAATTGATCTATTTGCGTTGTTTAAACGAAGCTAATATTGTTTATTTATTTTCCTATCGTTTGACTTTCTATATTCATGGTGTAAAATTCCAAATGAGAATTTCACAACATTGTTGATATCGATTTCTGTTAAAATATATTTAAAAAACAAAGTGAATCTCGTTTGTATAATCTTCGTATCGTCCTGAAGAATATGCTGAGAAATTCCAGTTTCCAATATATACAAGTATATTAACTTGACAGCAAAATATCCCGGATTTTCTTTCCATTCTGACTTTTGTATCCGGCCTCGCATAGTCCGGGTATTGAACGATTTAACTGAGTAGTATAAACGACCAGGCGAACAGAGTTACTTGAGGGGTTATTTCTGGGTCGGCTCAGACCTCGATCAGTGACCGCCATTGATATCCTTCAACCTATCCTCTCAAACGTGTATGTACATACACGTATCCACTATATCCCGTGAGATATTACACACGCTGATCCTCGCTATTCATAATCGAATCCCTCCGTACGAAACCGCGAGCAACTACGATTCCAAACTGTTTCGGTTTCACGTGTAGAAATCAAATCGCGTAAGCCGACGTTGACCACGCGAGCAGAAGCGATAGTTTTCAGCAATCCTTCCCCCTCCCCCCCCCCCCAAAAAAAAAACAAAAAAACACAACGCCGAACGTTTAAAGAGGTATTGACCAGCGAATAACGAGAAGCGATTCTCGATGCTTCTTTTATCTTTGTCCTATATCTGGTCGTAAATACATATCGCCAGGCCCCGAAGTCTTCCCGTTCATCTAGGCACGTAGACGCACGTGTGCAGACCGCGTACTTGTATTCAGGTGGTAACGTTCCTTCAACAATGTGCAGTCGGTATACACCGATAACAAAGCGCATGAGTGTTCGTCTATGACTACGGAACAGCGCGAGGGTTCGCGGGGGAGGGGAGGGAGGGAGGAAGGGAGAGGGGAAGGGGGAGGAGAGTGGAGTGACGATGAGGAGCGGAGGGTGAGAGGGCAAGAGAGAAAGAGAAAGAGAAAGAGAAAGGCGAATAGCAGGCGAAGGAGAAAGAAAGAGAGGGAAAGAGAAAGCATAGTGCAACGGTTGACCCCGGTACACGGGGTCATTCCCTTCTTCAACCACCACTACCAACCCCTACTGCCTCCAGTTCTACCGCTCACCTACCCGTCCCTACTACTGGTTCCTCCACCCCTTCTCATCCTCGTATCCTCCACCAACGCTCTACCATCACGACCACGCAACTCGACTCTCCTCTCGCTCGCCCGGCCAGCGATGTAGCTACGAGGTGCTACGGGAGAGGAGCGTAGACTCTCGTGCATACGCTCGGCTGACAGGGACGATCTCAGGACGAAGCTCCACCTAGATCTTCCTTTGCCTGTCAGCCCGCCAGACAGGTAATAACTTACGAAATATTTGATTTATGGTAATGTTGATAGTGACGGGTTCAGGCGCGTATCGAATGGTCAGGATGCCACCTTGCACTTGTCGAGTTAATGATCGCACACGCTCCATCCAACACGCTGGAAATTTAGTTCACGAATTCAGTTCCGACGTTTCGAGGCACGGAGTTTACCAGATCGACATTTCGACGGGAGACATATTTTTTCCCTCCCTCCCTCTCTTCCCCCCCCCCTTGCTCCTCCTCGTTTCTCGTTTCATCTCGTTTTAAATGACAACGAATCTACTAAATCACCGACCACGCTCGGGCTACGGATACGTAGTCGGTTCTTTTTCTTTCGTTTTTTATTGATTCCATTCGAATTGACGAGGAAACAACAATAGAAAACCGGGGGCAAGATTAATAGGGAAATCTCAGAGGATTTGCAGTTCCAGAGATTACGCGGATCAAATTTGAATGTAACATGAATTTACGTTTATTTATTGCGAGGTGGCTACTAGTTCGAGAACCGCAGCTTCATTTGTTCGCCATAGAAATAGGTCGAATTGATACGAAAAATTGTCGTGTCTTTGCAACTGCACTCGGAACATGTATATAACATATTGTCTCGCATCCTAGAGAAGCATTTGCTCCCACGGTGTTTATTATCGGAAACGATCAATCTCGCGACGACGAGATGTCATAAGCATATATGCATGCGCATACGCGGATCGTCGATGGATAAAATCCGTGGCTACGTGTGTATTTTCGAGATGTGTATTTTTGAAACGGCCGCGGGGTCGTGCAGGTTATTCGGGTCACCTC